TAGTAATTTTATAAATAATATTCTTCTTATATACTTGTGTGGTGCCCCTCTTCACATGAAATCTTGGCCTGCCACGAAAAAATTGAACGGTTCTGATTATGAAATTTTTAGGGAATGCAAATATTATTCTTATTACTCTACGTTGATCATGTGATACTAGCATTATCTTTTTTACTTGCAATGAGAAGTTTTACGCTCAACAATTTTATGGACAAACACTAGCATTATCAGAGCACCAACCGCTTTCATCAAACGGTAACTTCGAAGTAGGACAATTTCTTTAACTGCCATTTAGGCAGAGCATTCAAGTCATACAACCGTTTTCATCACCACCATTATGGCACAGAGCATGCAAGTCGTGCAATTTTATTATTATTTTTTTTTTAAATTATGATTATTAAAGAAAGGGTGTGAGTTACTATTATAATAATTTAGAGAAATAGAATTTTTGAACGCATGCATGAAAATTCAACACCTTATCAATTAGGATATTAGACCACTTGCAATCCTACAATTCCAAAAACACAAATCCCATTTCACAAAACTTAAAAGTTCAAATTAAATTCCCTTTGAACTTGGATTCCCATTTTCAAACCATACATTGGCACAACAAATTAGGAATTTCTCAAAGCAAAATTGCCATTTGCAGAAGAAACTCAGAAAATTCTCAAAGCAAAACTGGAACATAGAGGTACGAATCTCATATCCTTGTTGATTTCTTACTTTCAAATTACTGTTAGGCCAAGGGCCATTTTAAATCCTCTATGCGTAGGGTCTTAATTAATTAGATTTTTTTTTTTAAAATTGCACAAATGACACCTATATTTCTTTAACTTATGTCATTTACCACCCTGGCTAATAATTCTTTAACTTATGTCATTTACCACCCTGGCTAATAAAGTTACAATAACCACCCAAACTAAATATTTTAACAATATTTATACTTGCTAGCTCCTGTATAGATATGTGGCATCATTTAACTGGAGGGGAACTCAAGCTCCGTCAATGTACCCGTCACCTAGAAAAATTTCTTGAGGAGTGGATGGACCACTTTCGAGATAATTGGGCCCAATTTTACAAGGAAGATGGAATTCGACCCTCGAAGCATTTTAGCGACCGACCATAAGTAGTGTGGGTTATTTTGTTGTAGTTTCAGAAATAATGTGAATTATTTTGGTTCAGTTTCAAAAATAATGTGGGTTATTTTGCTTAAGTTTCATAAATAATGAGGTTATTTTGCTGTAGTTCCAGAAATAGTGTGAGTTATTTTGATGTAGTTCCAGAAACAATGTGGATTATTTTTGTTAAGTTTAAAAAATTGTGTGGTTATTTTCCTATAGTTCCAAAATTAGTGTGGATTATTTTGGTTAAGTTTCAGAAATGGTGTGGTTATTTTGCTATAGTTCTAGAAATAGTGTGGGTTATTTTCATGTAGTTCCAAAAATAATGTGGATTATTTTGGTTAAGTTTCAGAAATAGTGTAACTTATTTTGCTATAGCTTCAGAAATAGTGTGTGATTATTTTGTTGTAGTTCCAGAAATAGTGTGTGATATTTTAGGTGTACTTCTAAAAATAGTGCATTGTATTTTGATTCAGTTTCACAAATAATGTGTAATTTTGTTGTGGATTCATAAATAGTATTTATTTTTCACTTTAGAAACAATGTGGATTATTTTGGTTCAGTTCAGAAATAGTATGAATTATTTTGTTACTTGTCATGCTTGTTAAGCCCTTTTCTGATTTGGAATTAATTGATAAAATTCCAAAGGGGATCTCTTTTATTTTCTTCCTTCTCCCCCAATTTTTCCTACTTCATTTCATCTCTTTTTTTCTATGGTCAAAGTCGAAACTAAGAAGGCCCACTTTCCTTCTTCTCCTCCACCACCACCACAAAACCCATCATTTTCTCATCACCAATTCAAGCAAAATCATAACTAGTAGCAGTAATAATCTTCCTTCTCCAATACCAAAGTTATCTCTCCTCACTCACTCACTCACTTCCTCTTAAAGCTCAACAAAAGTATGAATCATAAATAAAGCCCCCAAATCAGGGAAAGAAGCAATTAAAGGTACAAAATTACTAATGCCACTCAACCCAAATGACCCCCAAAAAAAAGGAGCATAAGTTGAATTCCCAGAAAAAATTTCAGAAGCATACCATTGATAGCAAGTGAGGAAAAAGCTGAAGGTAGAAAAGAAAAAAACTTTCTCTACCACTACTCTTGCTGGTCTTCTTACCACCTACAACCCTAGGTTATGGTCTAAATTTCCCCCCAAACTTAATCCAACCCAAGAGAAAACTTTGGGCTAAATGCTAAATGAGGAACTGAGGCCTAATTCCGCCCAAAATTTAGCCCAAAAGTCGGTGTGGGCCCCACCGAATGGATTACTTTTCAGCATTTGGGCTCCAAATGCATCCCACGATGACGCCTAACGCGCGAGGTTTCCGACCGTCAGGGACCCACCCACGTGGGCATGTCGACCATGTTTCGCATGAGCCCTAACAGCTCATTCCATTCAACGGTCGTGATCATCAGGCCGTTGGTTAATCCAACGGCCTAGATTCAAATTTCATTTTTTTTTTGTTTTTATATTTATATATTATTGAATCCAACGGCTGAGATCGAATATAATCAAATTTAATGGTAAAATAAAAGATCTAACGGCCCAAATTTAAATCCAACAGATAACATAATTAAAAAAATTATTTAACTCAAAATTCACCTAAAAACTCTATAAATACCTATGTATTTGTTCAAACATCCACACAAAACTCAATTTTCTCCTACAATTCTTCCAATTTATCTTTCTACCATTTCTTTCCATTTCCAAATTGTTCAACATGGCAAGAGAGCATATTAGAGGTCGTAATTGGACATGTGAGTAAGATGTTGTTTTATGCTTGGCATGGGTTTCTGTTAGCGAAGATGGTGCAATTGGCACAAACAAAATAAAAAGGTTTTGTGGGATAAAATCATTGCAATGTTTCAAGAAAACTGCAACGGCGGTGGGCGGGACGGTGGTGGTGTTTATGATCAATGGAAGACTATCAACAAAGCATGCACTTTATGAAAGGGAAGCTTGGAGAGAGCCGTGGTTGGCATGGCTAGTAGAAGGAGCGCCACAGAAATTGAGTTTTTTTCTTGATATTTTATTTGTCATGTACATAATATTATTTGCAACTAATTATTTTTATGTATTTTTTGCATAAGGTGACAAAGCAATGGAAATTTACAAGACAAGAGTAACACCAAAAAATCAAGTTTTTAAGTTGCAACATGCTTGGGACATCCTCAAGGATTGTCCGAGGTGGGGAACCGATGCGGACCAACAATGGGGAAGATTATTTCAACGTGCACAGACAAATGCCGAAGATGAAGGTGTCGATGAAATGACCCCATCTCCTTCTTTTGCAAGGCCCCCAGGGAGAGATAAGCAAAAGGAAGCAAAAAGAAAAGGGAAGTCCCAAAATCCGATGAGTGGACACTTTGCTACCGGAATTGCAAAATTGAACGAAACTCATAGCTCTCGCCAAGAAGAAGCGGCCCAAATGCGTTTGCAAATGAAGGATAGGGAGCAAGATAGGTTTGAAATTAATTTGATGATGGAAGACCTCAACAAATACACTCCATAGAGGAAGAAGTTCTTAAGTGGTAAGCAAAAGGAAATTTTGTGAAAGTACGCCTCAAGGAGTTTATTTCAAGATGATGAATCCTCTAAACCTTATATCCCAAGTCAACCACGAAGTCCATCACCAAGTCAAGATGGTGGACATGATTATTAAGTTTATGTAGTGTATGAATTATGTGCTTTATTAATTAAGTTTATTAATTGTCGTTTGTATTAAGTTTATGTAGTTTATTAATTGTCGTTTGTATTAAGTTTATGTGGTTTATGTACTTTATTAAATTTATGTCTTACTAATTATTGTTTCTATTAATCTAGATGCCTTCAATAATTATTGTACTTATTATTCCACACTTTGATGTAGAATAGATGCCTTCAATAATTCAACCTCCATTCAATAATTTATCCAATGTATTAGACAAAATACTTTGCACAAGAAGACACTTAAATTTATTATTAGAAAATAACAACATAGTACACTTAAAATTATTACATAAATGCTCAACCAACATCATCAACGTTCATCTTCTCAGCGCCATACATGCTCAACCAAATCCTTGCGGAATGTGTCATGACCTTGAGGAGCTTGAATTCTATTTAAACGTCTCATATACTCACTCAAGGTAACCCTATCATGTCGGGTCTCATATGTGGTTAGAGCGAGATATTCAACATCTCTTGCAATAGCTCTCGCATGTGTTGGTTGGTCATCATCCACATCTTCGTCTGAATCTTCTTCAATTTCGATGTACTCATCTTCCACAATCATGTTGTGCAAAATTATGCACGTCAACATGATTGAATGGAGGTCTTCGATATGCCAAAATCATGCAGGCCCTCTAACAATCGCCCATCAAGCTTGTAGGATCCCGAACTCTCTCTCCACATCCTTCTTGTAAGACTCTTGCCTCTACGAAAATAATTTCTTCTTTGCACTATCAGGATGAGAAAAACTTTTGACAAAGGTAGACCAACTAGGATAAATATCATCAGTTAGGTAGTAACCTAGCTCATACCTATTACCATTTACCTTATACTGAAATTCTGGTGCCCATCCATTCACAACATTATCAAACAAAGGAGAAGACCAAAGAACGTTGATATCGTTGTTTGATCTAGGAGCACGGAAGAATGCATGTCAAATCCACGTGTCGTAAGATGCCACAGCCTCTAGCATGATGGTTGGTTTGTTATAACGGCATTTGAATTGGCCAACCCAACCAGTAAGACAATTCTTCCACTCCCAATGCATACAATCGAAACTTTTTATCATGCCAGGGAAGCCTCTTTTGTCTGCCTTGAGTAGTAGCCTTTTCAAGTCTTCACGATTTGGCTTGTGGAGGTATATGGCTCCATATATGACTTGAATTGCCTAACAGAAGCGCTTCAGGTTCTCAATAACAGTACTATCCGCAATTCGACAATACTCGTCAGTTGAGTCTGCAAAGCACACATTAGCTAGCATCCGAAATGCAGATGTGAGCTTCTGATGAGGTGATAAACTTTGGCGGCTGACGGCATCTATCTTCCTTGCAAAGTAGTGGTCATGATTGACAACTGCGTTCAAGATGCTTTCAAAAAGCTCTCTCCTCATCCGAAACCGCCTCCGAAAATCATGAGCAGGAAATCTCGGACACTCGATGAAATAATCTTTCATCATTCGGTTATGACACTCTTCTCTATCACACTGCACAAATGAACGTCCCGTGACAGAACCACGATGGCTAGATTCGCCATGGTGCTCATATTGCATGAGCGAGTTTACAAGTTCAGCTTCGGTGTTTATCAATTATGCATCCTCAATGTCAAGCCTTGCTTGATATTGTGCCATATGCATTGCCCTGCTACGCCTTCTTCTATCACCCATTGATGAGATATTGAGGATTTTTTGGAAACAAAAACTCTTTGAAAGTTAAAAGATTGGTGAATATAGAAGATGATTGAAGGTTAAAAGATTGGTGAATATAGAAGATGATTGAAGGTTAAAAGATTGTGTGATCAACTAATATGGGACATGTGTTTATATAGAGGATGATTGATGAAAGTTGAAAGTTTGGTGTTGAACAGTTGGTGAAAGTTGAAGGCTTGCTTTGTGGAAAATTTAGTGATTTTTCAATATTTATCGGAATTTAAATATTTTTAGATTAAAATGTTCATAAAATTAATTTACGATAGTTTACATATTTTTTTTTTAAATTTAATTTAAGAAAAAAACTAGCCTAATTTCATTCTTTAGATCATCTCCAATGGTTGGGCTAAAAGTCAAATATTTTAGCCCGTAAAATTTAGCTTTTAGCCCAGAAACAGCTTTTCTGCTCCAACCATTCTGGCCTAAAATTTTAGCCCGGGAATATTAAAGAATAAACTTAGGCTTTTTTTTTAAATTAATTTTTTTTTTAAATAAATAAATATGTAGACTATAGTAAATTAATTTTATAAACATTTTAATCTAAAAAAATTTAAATTCCGATAAATATTGAAAAATCACTAAATTTTCCACAAAGCAAGCCTTCAACTTTCACCAATCTTTCAACCCTGGGTGGATTTTGGGTGAATTTTGAGTTAAATTTTTTTTTTAATTTTTTTAGCTGTTGAATTTAAATTTGGGCCGTTAGATCTTTTTTTTTTTTACCGTTAGATTTGATTATATTCGATCTTAGTCGTTGGATTCAATAATATATAAATATAAAAACAAAAACAAAAATTGAATCTAGGCCATTGGATTAACCAACGGCCTGTAGATCGTGACCGTTGGATGGAAGTAGCCGTTGGAGGTGCTGTGGAATGTGGCTGACAGGCCCACGTGGGCAAGGCCCTCGCTGTCTGAGGCGTCGCGCGTCGCACGAGTTGGGATAGTGGGTGGGCTGCATTTGGCGCACAAACACCCCTTTTCACTCGGTTCGGTGGAGCCCACTCCGATTTATGGGCTAAATTTTGAGGGGAATCTGGCCTTGGTATAGCATTTAGCATTTAGCCCAAATTTTCCTCTTGGGTTGGATTGGGTTTGGGGGGGAATTTGGGGGAGTAATTTGGCTTTTAGCCCAACATTGGAGTTGGTCTTAATAATCTCAGGCCACAATTTTATGTCAGAAGGGTTGGAGCAAAAAAGTTGTTTCTGGGCTAAAAGCTAAATTTTCTAGGCTAAAAAAATTGGTTTTTAGCCCAATGGTTGGAGATGGGTTTATGGGGGCAAGTGGCGAAAACATCAAAATTTTGTTTTTTTTTTTTTATATTAATTTTTTAAGAAAAATTATGGATTTGTGTGTGAGGGTTATCAGATATAGCTACGGCGGCAAGTTCAGGTTTGGGCGACTGTGCACAACATGTGCAATCAAAGCTTCGATCACATAAATGTCTGATATTTTTCTTTGGGTTATTGATATTCATAGTAATTTTGCTCTTTTTAAGTCTGCATGCGTGTGTACAAGTGTGGGTGTGCCGAGCATGGAAGGATTTGAGATTATGGAAGTAGAGAATAGCAGAGAGATCTCAAAAGAAAGAGAAATGTTAAACGGGTCTGGGCGTGCCAAGTGTTGAAGGATTTAAGGGTAAAATTGGAAATGTCGTGTTTGGACCATTTTAATTGGACTGATTCAATATTGAGTTTTGTCATAACTATTAAATAAAGTTAGGGGTGTGATATCCACACATCCCTTTTTACTTCTCTCACACCTTTTTAGTTTTCGGCTGTCGAATAAGATGAATTGAAGAAGATCAACGGACATAAATTAACAAGAGGTGTGTGAGAAGTAAAAAGGAATGTGTGGATAGCACACCCCATAAAGTTATTACTAATAATTAAAAAGATCAAAGGGTAGTTAAGGTGCCATGTGGCAGGTTTGTAATGGATAAGATGAATGTATAATTGCTTAGTAGTTAAGCAAGGCAGTTACTAAATAGAGTAGACTATAAATAGTAGAAAAATCTTCTCTTGTAAGATTGTGTGACAGAAATAAGAAAACATTCATTTGAGTCTCTCTCTCTACATTTCTCTCTGTTCTTTATCGAAGTTCTTCTACTGAAACCCTAGATTTCCTTTCTGTTAATAATTACATGGTTTTTGGATAACATTCAAAATTTTCATGTTCTTATCATTAGTTTTTCCTATATTATAAGACGTGGATTCGTAATGTTGCTTATGTAGTACGTAGCAGTAGATGTTGCTTATGTAGTACGCGGCAGTAGTCTTGACTTGAGCTTCGCTTTCTTCAGTCAGTCAGTTGTTCATCAAAGCTCTCTTCAGTCAGTTGGCAGGTGAATCTGGTGAGTGCTTTCAAGTTGTTTCTTGCATCATCCATTTTCATGTCGATTTTTAGTGACTTCTGGAGATGGATTTTTGGCGGTAAAGATGAGCATGATTCTAATTCTGCTTCTCACGTTCAAAATCGCACACAAACCCGTTCCTATGAGCAATCTCAACCCCCATTTCCTCCATCTAAACCACTCTCATCTCCCTGTAATCCATCTTCATCGTCCCTCAAACCCCCATTTCCTCCATCTAAACCACTCTCATCTCCCTGCAATCCATCTTCATCGTCCCTCAAACCCCCATTTCCTCCATCTAAACCACTCTCATCTCCCTGTAATCCATCTTCATCGTCCCTCAAACCCCCATTTCCTCCATCTAAACCACTCTCATCTCACTGCAATCCATCTTCATCGTCCCTCAAACCCCCATTTCCTCCATCTAAACCACTCTCATCTCCCTGTAATCCATCTTCATCGTCCCCGAAACCTTCCACGTCATTGTTTAAACCACCGGAATCTTCTTCTCTCAATGCATCGTCTCCATTTTCTTCTAATCCCCCTCCGGTATGTGCTTCAAAACCATCTCCATCTTCCCCTACTGGGCCTGCCGTATCTTCCACTAAGCTCCATCCAACGTTTAAGCCGGTTCTATCCCGCGCCTCTTCAAATGTATTGGATCAAAAGGGGAAGAAAAGCTATGTGTGGGTTGAGAATGATTCATTACCTCTGTTCGCAATTCCTGACGATATCCAAGATTTGATCAAGAATGGCATCGCACCCAAAGTTCTAAACCAGCCTCTGTCTCCCGCGACATATAAGGATTACTTCGCTGCTCTCTTATATGCTGAAGAATTATACTACGAGGTACGCCTGAATCTTGCCAATTTCGTAATGCATTTTTCCTCTTAGTTTGTTAGTTAAGAAAAAACCTTTTACTTAGAAAAAATTTGAAAGATAAGAGGGATACTCTCTGTACTGTATCTGCATATGACGTCTCGTTAAGTTGTGTTCGTAGTAATCTTACTGCAGGCATTGGTTGGTCGTATGAATCATAGATCGTAGGGGGTTGTGATAGATGCAACGTTGTTAATTTCTCGGTTTTTCTTGTATGCTTTGAATCCTTGCATTGAAGTAAAACTCATGCTTTTCTTTGAATCAGAAATGGCCTCACTTCGAATTGGAGAATGTCCCTGTGGAGTTGCAGGAAGCAGCAATTTTTAAAAAACCAGACAAAGAAGAGAAAACCTTGGTAGCATTTGATATGGCTTCTTTTCCTTCGAATCGCCCATTTCTTTTGTCGAGGGACTTGGTCTATGTGCGACCATCGGGGACAAAAGCTGAGCTATTTCAGGTAAACTACGATCATTGACCCATCAACATGCTCTGGATTCTAAACGTGTATCTCATTTCTAAACTTATCCATCAACATGATTTTACGTGTTATACAGGGCTTTATATATCGCGTCGTCAAAAGCAGTGTTGTTTTAGTGGAATTTGAAGATAACTTTTATGTCAATCACTATTCGGCCCAAAAATATGATGTCAGCTTCTCATTCAATAGGGTCTGTTTGAAAAGAGCTCACCAAGCTGTACAAAATGCATCAGAGGCTTTGTTTAGGAACTTCCTCTTCCCTGAGTCTGTTTCGCGTGCGAGTATTCCCACTGCACCGCGGCTGCTGTGCACCGGTCATAAACTTGATCCCAATCAATTATCTGCAGTTTGTCGTATTTTAAGCATTCGTGGCTCACCACCTTACCTATTGGCTGGCCAGCTCTGTGTTGAAAGGAGCGATTTTGGGCTATCGAGAACTGGACTGGTGGTTAGTGAAGCAGTGCACCAGTTATGTCAAACTTCACACGGAAATAGGATGCTCATATGTGCTCCTAGTAACCGCTGTTGTGATGGGCTTATGAGAAGCTTGTTGAAATGGATTCCTGAGTCGGACATGTTTCGAGCGAATGCTGCATTCCGCGAGAAAGATGAGGTACCCGAAGACATCCTCCCGTCATGCCTTTACAAAGAGCCCTACTTCTCTTGTCCTCCGACGGAGGAACTTTGTAAATTCAGAGTGATCTTCTCCACTTACATGAGTAGCTTTCGGCTACATGATAAGGGCCTAACTGCTGGACATTTTAGTCATATTTTTCTGGTGGATGCTTCGTCTGCTATTGAGCCAGAAACAATGGTGGCCCTGACTACTTTCGCTGACAAGAATACTACTGTTATAGTTACCGGTGAACCAGGAAACCGTTCGTCTTGGATTCGAGCTGACATTGGAAGGAATAAGGGGCTGAAGATTTCATTCTTTGAAAGACTTTCCAAGTCAGTGCCATATAATATAGAAGACTCAGTCCAATGTTCACCACACAATTGGAGCATTATCAAGGATTCAAGAGTCTGACTCATTGAACACCTACAGGCTACGGCCTGAACTTTATGGGTTTGTTTGTCAAGCGCCATCGAATTTGTACGTAATTATTCGAATGTGTACGGTATATGTTATCTTTTGGATGTGTACGTATAAGTTATTGTACTGACACGTCTTGGTGTTCTGCAGATGATTTCTTGTGTATTAAGCTTAAAAGTTCAAACCATTTTCGTAGATGTCTTGGTTTATGTATGCGGTTTATGAGATGGAGATTTTTTATGGTACTATGGAGTATTCGCCACTCCAAATCTTTTAACCTCTGATATTTGGTTGAAAACTCAACAACAACAATAACAACAACAAAGTTTTATCCCTCTGAGTAGTATCGGCTGTATGAATCCTAGAACGTCATTGCGCTCGATTTTGTGCCACGTCTTCCATTAGATCCAAGTACTCCAAATCTTTTCTTATCACTTTTCAAGTCTTCCTAGGTCTTCATCTACCCCTTCGTCTCTAAACTTTTGTCTCGTAATCACATCTTCTAACGGAGCGTTTGTAGGCCTTAGTTTCACATGTCCAAACCACATTAACCGATTTTCTCTCATATTTTCTTCAATCTCAGCTACTCCTATTTTACCTCGGATATCCTCATTCATAATCATATCCTTTTTCGTGTGCCTACACATCCAACGAAGCATTCTCATCTTTGGTACACTTAGTTTAGGGTAAATTACAAAAAACTATCTTAACTATTGGTCTGACGACACTTTTATACCTCATCTTTTAAAAATGACAATGTTATACATCATCTTACGAATTTGTGCCAATGTCAGACCTCTGTCAGTTTTTCTGTTACTTTTTCTGTTAAATGCTAATGTGGCCAAAGACGGGACCCACTCACTAATCCAACTGGATTAAAAAATAATAAAATATATTTTTAATAATTAAGTATTCAAAAATTAAAATAATTAAAAATTAAAAATTTGAAAAATATAAGAAATTGCCTAAGGGATCTGGCCTTCCCTTCCACCTGCACCAACCCTTTTTCTTCTTCTCTTCGACAGCCACCAAACCCTTCCCCGTCCCCCCTAACCTTCCTCCACCACCCTTTCTCTCTCTCTTCTCTCTCTCCTCTCTCTGGGATGCGGTCTCCCTCCTCCGTCCCTCTCCCCACTCACACCCATCCTTTCCTCACCACCACCTCCCATCCCTCCCCTAATACCTCCATACCCAACCTTCCTTCACCATCCCACCGCCGCCTCTCTTCCCCCATCTTCACTAGGGATGGGCAAATACTCATTTGTTATAGGTAACCGTGGTTATCTGCCCATTTAAATTTGACGGTTACAGTTACAGGTAACCATTTAGATAAATAAACGGTTATGGGTATAACCACTTACCCGTGAAATTTAAATGGGCAGTTATGGGTATTACTCGCTGTTACAAACGGGTACCCATTTAACCATTTATTTTAATATATATAAAACTAAAAAAAAAAAGGTTCATAATATATATATATATATATATATATATATATGCCTCACTTGAGAGAAAAATATAGTTGATAGAACGGCCCAATGTTTAATATATGTGATTGAATGTACTAAAACATTAGAGTGTTCGACAGTTTTGTTTTTGAGTCTTTAAATGTTATATCGTCAATATTTGGCCAATTCAAGATAATGATTACCTTTAGTCTTTTGGAGTTTTGGTCATAATATATATATATGTGTGTGTGTGTGTGTGTGTGTGTGTGTGTGTGTGTGTATGTATACAAGAATATTAATTAACCTACAACCATGCATGATTCTTGTAATAGATTGACCGTCAAATAATTGGTAGACATCACATACATTCATAAATCATATTGCCGTTAATACAAAAATTCATGTTAAATGTATTTGTAACGGTATTTAATTGTTAGAAAAAGAAAATTATGACAAATTTCTTTTTAATTTTCAAGTTGTTAAAAAAAAATAGGTAGACGGTGAAAAAAAAAGTAAATAGGTTAAAAATGGATAAACGGGTACGCGGCTATAGTTAAATGGGTATACGGTTATGGTTAACCGTTTATAAACGGTTATGGGTATGGGTATACTAGTTTACGTAAATACAGGTTGTGCAGGTAAAAGCTTAAACGGTTATAGGTAAATAACCGCGATTACCTGCCCGCTATAACCGTTACTCATCCCTAATCTTCAACACCCCACTGAAGAAATCAAAAAAACCAAGCCCACATCCAGATCCCACACCAAAAAAAAAACACAAAAAAACAAAAATACCAACCCACACCCCAGATCCCCTTCCCCTCGGATTTGGATCCTCTCCTGAGCTAATGGAGAGGATCCTCCTGACCCATCATCTTGGACCGTTGGATTTTTATCCAACGGCTACAAACAGAGGAGTTCCTTTAAAGTTATAATAATTATAGCCGTAGGATAAATATCCAACGGCCCACGATTATGGGTCAGGAGGATCTTCTCCATTAGCGGAGGAGAGGATCCAAATCCCTTCCCCTCCTACACACCCATCACCCTCCTACCTTCTCTCCACCCAGTCCCTCCTCTGATATCTCTCCTCCGTCTGATTCGCCGTCGTCCCCACACCTCCTCCGACCTCTCTCTTCCTCTCGACCTCTCGATTTCCTCCTCCTCTCGGCCGTCAAAACCCTCCTCTCCTTCCCACCTCCGCTCTCTTCGTCTTCAGACCCTTCTTCTCCTCCCTCTCTCCGCTGCTCTCCTCCTCGGCGCCGGTGTTGCAGAGAGAAGAGGGAGTTAGAGTGAGAGAGAGATGCGGGAGAAGATAGAGAAGAGAGAGAGAAGGGTTGGTGCGGGTGGTTGTTGGGTCCTTTTTTATTTATTTAGTTTTTTAATTTTTAATTTTTTTGGGTCAGTAAGCGCCATGGTTGTTGGGTCCTTTTCTCACCTCCACGCACCTCCACCTTCTCTATAACTGCAATTTACAAACACAACACCCAGAAACCCACCGACAAAACCAGAACCTCCATTGTTTGAGCACTCGGAGGAGCCACTTGGGTGTTCCTTTTTTTAGAGGAACGTGGATTTCTGGATCTGAATTTTGGGTCAAACGAGTGCGTTGACTTCATTGACTTGGGATTGGTAAATGATTTAGCTTGATTGGTCGGATTTGAGAGATGAATGTCCTGGAAGAGCAGAGAAGGAGAGGCATCAAAGAGTGCTTTTGTGTCTCGGAAATGGACCCTTTTGTTTTGCATTGGTTGCTTTTGTGCTGGGATGTTCTTCTCTGATAGATAAATAATTTAAATTTCCACATATTTAAAGCTTCAATTTTTCTTTGAAATCCCGGAGAAAATGATTGGTTTGGTGAAGTGGGTAGCTTTCTTCCCCCTTAAATTTGCTCAAAGATTTGGGATTTTGGATTGTTTTTGTAATCTGGATGTTGGGTTTGGTGGGTTTTGAATTTGATGAGTGATGGTGGATTTTTTAGCTTTTTCTGGGTTTTTGTAATTAATGCATCATTGCTGTATTTTTTTAATTGTTTAGTTAGTATCTTTAAAGTAGAGATTAATGATGATGACAGACTCGTTTAAAATTTAATTAGTGTTATTAATTGCTTCCTGGTTGGGTTCCCTTATTTTTTTGGCAGAATTGGTAAGTTTGTTATGTCCCTTACAATGATGATATTGGGATAGATCTGAATTTCATATAACAGATCCAATGCTTCAATTCAGACATCATTCTAGTAATCATGTTTTGTCTTAATTGTTTTGTTCAAGAGATTAATCGGTTGTCCCTTCTTCATTAAGTACTACGACATCACCTTCTGCACCGCCCGCCCTCCTTCCCTAGTCCTTTTCTTTCCCTCCCCTTGCTTCTCATTTCCGGAAAACGCACTGATCGGGCGACTCCTACATGAATTGAATATTTTATTATTTTTAATCTAGTTGGATTAGTGAGTGAGTGATGTGGAGCCAAAAATATTCACAAGGCGACACGTAAATTTTTGGACAAAAAAGGACAAAAATACCCTTGCAGTACAACGAGGTTCCTACGCGCAAGCAGCGGGCAACCCTCTTTCAACCAAGACAGAAGTGCCCAAAATAGGTAACAATTCAAAGTCCATCTCATCAAATCCTTTCTACAAGGTAATTCCCAAACACATTCCTTTTAAAATTATGTTAATTGGCTAATTAATGGGTTTATTGCCTAATTAACCCATTAATTGTCAATTAAACCATCCATTATATCCAAATAACCACAAAATACATCCAATTCAACCCTAAAACACTACATGGCCGGCCATCCCCTTAGCTTTCTACCTTCCCTATCTTTTCCTACTTTATTACCCAAATAAACCTAATCATTCAATTTGATAACCCCCCATTTATTTCTATCATATTTTATTAGTCAATAAAGTGGCTAATTAAACCACAAATTCACCAAAAAATGGACAAAGTGGCCGGCCACTTCCTTTGAAAAGTGGATCAACCTAGTCCTATAAATAGGGACCTATTTTCACCAAACACTCATTCCAAACATCTTGCAAAAAATCCCAAATACTCTAAACACTATTTCTCTCTAAAATTCTAACTTTGGCATCGGAGGTTCTTCGGCCAAAGCCCCCATTCATCGTGGGCGCGTGAGGCTTTTAGCCTTAACCTAAGGTGCTAGTTGTTTTGTAGGTGCAAAATCGTCCAAGATCGAGGAGGAGAAAATTTGCATCCACAAATTGGTGCTTTCATTGAGAGTTGAAATCCATACTCGTAGAAGACTATCGCACAAAAAGGTTTTTTCTTTATTTTCTAGTCCATTTGAATATTTTTCATACGTTCTTATTATTAGAATTTTTTACTTGCAAAGTTTCTTTGATAAAACATATAAGAAAAATATAATGGCTAGAAATTTAGAAAATTCCACAAGTGAAAATTCTAATATTCAAGAAATGGGATTGCGGAGATCCGTGAGGCTAAATGCGACAATAAGTGGAGCGGCACCACCACCACGAGTTTCCACCACGAGAACCACCGCGGTGGCTACCTCGGTAGTCACCCGTGGCGAGGTCCATGGTGCTTTCACCACGGCCCGAGCCGTGCCATCCAAGGCTCACGGCACCAAGGCCACGACCCAAGCCATGTCACTCCAAGCCCAACGTGAATTTAACGCGTTGCCAAGCCAAGCCCAAACCTCGCACCCATGTGCATCACACTCCGAGCAGCCTGCTCCAATCGAGCAGCCCACTCTCGTGGCCCAACCTGCTCTCACAGCCCATCCTGCTCCCGCCTAGCAGCCTGCTCTCGTGGCCCAGCCTGCTCTCGACGAGGAGCCTACTCCCGTG